AGGCATGGCCAGAGACCCTGCCCCACCCTCTCCTCATTGAGCCCCGCCCTACTTCTCTGTCAGAGCCTTGGTAAACAAGGGTTGCATCCTTTCACACCATTACTTCCTTACGCCCTTCCTGAAACACCATCCCCAACCCTTTACCCACTCTGCTGCCTGTACAGTTATCCTCTGTAACTCATCTGTCCCATTCCATGGGGGAGACCTGTCCCCCCCAAACCTGGAAACCCCCTTCACTTCAGACTATTAGCCTACCACCCCAGTCAGCCTTGGCCTCACCATCCACAACCTCCAGTTTCCCTTCTCCCACGACCCTACTTCTGAAACACCAAGCACCAAATTGGGACACCTCCTGGGACTGGAGCTGAGGATCCTCGGTGCCAGTCTTCCTGAAGGAACACACAGAGAGCCCTGGAAGAATAGCTCCTCTGCCCCACGCTTGCTCTGGCTGCCTGCCTAACCCCATCACTCCTGCACCCCCACCCTGCCTTGGATTCCACCAGGGTCTGCCTCTACACTCATCTCCCTTTTGCCCCATCAGTGAGCTGGACTACCATGAGGCAGCCTCGGTGAATAGCCGCTGCCAAGCCATCTGTGACCAGTGGGATAACTTGGGTACACTGACCCAGAAGAGGAGGGACGCACTAGAGGTGGGTAGGAGGGCCAGGGAACTGAGGTCAAGGTGATGAGGCCAGCAAGCTTTAAAAGGATTTGATCCATGGTCCCTCTGGCCTCTAGAGGATGGAGAAGCTCCTGGAAACCATTGACCAGCTGCAGCTGGAGTTTGCTCGGCGGGCAGCCCCCTTCAACAACTGGCTGGATGGGGCTATTGAGGACCTGCAGGATGTGTGGCTAGTGCACTCTGTGGAAGAGACCCAGGTGAGCGAAGCATTAAGACAAGAGTCTGAGAGGCACCGGATGTGATGAGAGGAAAACTGGTCTCACATCTCATCAGCCAAACCTTTGGGTTCCTGGATAATAGAAATAGAAAGCAGGAAAAAACCAAACAACCCAGTTATGGAGTGCTGGGCGAGAGGCAAGAGGCATAGGTTTTTGGACCAGTCCTGAACCAACTGCTGTTCTGCCCCCTCTGTTGCCTGGAATAAATGGGTGTACTAGCTGATTCTTCCTGTTTCCCCCAGAGCCTGCTAACAGCACACGAACAGTTCAAGGCAACGTTGCCGGAGGCTGATCGAGAACGAGGTGCCATCCTGGGCATTCAAGGAGAGATCCAGAAGATCTGCCAAACATACGGACTGCGGCCAAAGTCCGGCAACCCCTACATCACGCTCAGCTCACAGGACATCAACAATAAGTGGGACACAGTGAGTGCACCCAGCAGCCCTGTGTGGTCCCCTCTTGTTCTCGAACATTTGAATCAATGAGGTCTTTAATATCCCAAGATATAGGAAATAAACCCCACCTCCATCCATCTGGGCCCGCCACAGATTCCACGTGGCATTGGATAAGCCTCCAACATCATTCCTCTATCAGGACTGACAGACATATAGAATATTGTTTGCATACCATCCACAAGCCCACCTATATGTCATTGGTCCCATTTAACAGATGAGGAATCTGGAGCCTATGAATATGAAAGCATTTGCCTCAGTTTATCCACATATCCCATTTTGGTTTATGAGGTTTGAGGGCCTGAAGGCCATCTTGCCTCAGCACTGTCTCCTGGCCCCCACAATTGGCTATGGTACAACTGCTCTCCTTCCCAGGTCAGAAAGCTGGTACCCAGCCGTGACCAGACACTGCAGGAGGAACTGGCCCGACAGCAGGTGAATGAGAGGCTCCGGCGACAGTTTGCAGCCCAGGCCAATGCCATAGGACCCTGGATCCAGGGAAAGGTGGAGGTAAGGGATGGGAGAGCTGGGCCAACTCAGGGACTGGGATGAGGACTGGCCCACAGGGAGTTGAGAGTTCTTATCCTGCCTATGTACCCTTGCAGGAAGTAGGGCGGCTGGCAGCTGGGCTGGCTGGCTCTCTGGAGGAACAGATGGCAGGTTTGCGACAGCAGGAACAGAACATCATCAATTACAAGAGCAACATCGACCGGCTGGAGGGTGACCATCAGCTGCTGCAGGAGGGCCTAGTCTTTGACAACAAGCATACAGTCTACAGCATGGAGGTGGGGTCTCACCCGTGGGAGACAGGGAAGGGAAGCCTGGCCTGATCACAGCTGGATAGAGCCTGCCTGTCCCAGGAGGGTTGCCAATTCAGCCTGGCAGTCTTTTACAATGTCCCTAAGGCGATGTCCTGCAATGGAAAGTGACTTGTCTAGGCTAGGTGTGGTGATGCACAGCTCTTACGATATCACTGGAGATGCTCTCACTCGAGATGCTCGAGGATTAGGAGTTTACGGTCATCCTCAACTATGTAGCAAGTTCAAGGTCAGCTTGGGCTTTATGATGCAAGGAAGGAAGAAGGGAGGAAGAAAAGAAACCTATTCAAAGTCACAAAGCATTCTAAACTCAGGATTGGCCATGCTGGTCAATCAGTACCGAATCAAACTTTAAGGTAGAAAGGGCTGCTTAGCCGGGCGGTGGTGGCGCACGCCTTTAATCCCAGCACTTGGGAGGCAGAGGCAGGTGGATTTCTGAGTTCGAGACCAGCCTGGTCTACAGAGTGAGTCCCAGGACAGCCAGGGCTACACAGAGAAACCCTATCTCAAAACTACCCCCTCCCCCCCAAAAAAAGAAAGGGCTGCTTAGAGTCACTTAAGGGAACCTTGAGGTAGGGTGAAGAGGTCCAATAAGAGGGAGGATTAGCCCACTGCCACACAATGGATTAAGAGTACAATTAACTAGACAGCCAGGTATGGTGGGGCATGTCTTTAATCACAGCATTTAGGATGCAAAGGCAGGTGGATCTCTGTGAGGCCAGCCTGATCTACATAGGGAGTTCCATGACAGCCAGGGCTACATAGAGACCCTGTCTCCAAGCAACAACAAAAATGGAGTAAAACTGGAGTAAGGGCCAAGACCTGGCCACTCACTGACTGCCCCGTCTCTCACTCTCTAGCACATCCGTGTGGGCTGGGAACAGCTGCTCACCTCCATTGCCCGCACCATCAATGAGGTAGAGAACCAGGTACTGACCCGAGACGCCAAGGGCCTGAGCCAGGAACAGCTCAACGAGTTCCGGGCATCCTTCAACCACTTTGACCGGGTCAGTGGGGGCTAAGTCCTTGGGCTAACAGACTTGGGGGCTAGTGGGATTTGGAGGCCAAGCCTGACATCCATTTGCCCTCAACAGAAGCGAAATGGGATGATGGAGCCCGATGACTTCCGAGCTTGCCTCATCTCCATGGGTTATGATCTGGTGAGTCCCACGACTACTTCAGAAGTATCATCAGAGTCCCTCTTTCTGCCTGGCCCCCTCTTCACACAAACTATCTCTGCTCATCACACTCACATGAAGGCTAGCTAAGACACTGAGAGGCAAATTAACTAGTCCTATGTGACCTCAAAGTCTTAGCTTGGACCATTTTCCCCCCTCTAGGAAACAATGCTAAATTGTAAAATATCAGAACCATGAAGCAAGAGGGGTAATTGCCACAGACAAATGACATACTTCTTTCTGCCTAGCATGAAGGACTCCCTAAAGTCAAGCTGACTGAGGTCTTGGGAAGAAGAGGGTACTTTGTTACTTGAATGATATAAGCCAAGTATGAAAAATCCCCAGGAGACATGAGGAGCAAGACCTCTTGCCTTTAGCATGTATGACACAGTGCCTGACCTCTATCTCTGCAGGGAGAAGTGGAATTTGCTCGAATCATGACCATGGTAGACCCCAATGCAGCTGGGGTCGTGACCTTCCAAGCCTTCATTGACTTCATGACCCGAGAGACAGCTGAGACAGACACGGCTGAACAAGTGGTAGCCTCCTTCAAAATCCTGGCAGGAGACAAGGTAAGTCTCACTCGGTGGAGGGGCTGGCAGGCTAGGACATGACCCAAGACCCATGGGCCCTTCACGTCTCATCTCTTCTAGAACTACATTACCCCAGAGGAGCTGCGGAGAGAGCTCCCAGCCGAGCAGGCTGAGTACTGCATCCGTCGGATGGCGCCCTACAAAGGCTCTGGGGCTCCATCTGGAGCCCTGGACTATGTGGCTTTCTCTAGTGCCCTCTATGGAGAAAGTGACCTCTGACATTCTTAGTGAAGGAGGAGAAAGGGCATTTTCTGTGGTGGATTCTACTTTCCCTCAGAGCAAGGGCTTCAAATCATACAGCACTATATTTCTGAATAAAGATCAGGCTGTGGGCCTCTCCCATCTGCTTTTGGTTCTTTTTCTTCTTTCTTTCTTTTTTTTTTCTTTTTCAAGATTTATTTATTTTACTTGGGAGGCAAAGGCAAATGGATTTCTGAGTTCAAGGCCAGCCTGGTTTACAGAGTGAGTTCCAGGACAGCCAGGGTTACACAGAGAAACCTTGTCTCGAAAAACCAAAACAAAAAACAAAAACAAACAAACAAACAAAAAGATTTATTTATTTTATGTGAAAACATTGTCACTGTCTTCAGACACACCAGAAGAGGGCATCAGATCCCATTACAGATGGTTGTGAGCCACCATGTGGTTGCTGGGAATTAAACTCAGAACCTCTGGAAAAGCAGTCAGTGCTCTTTATTGCTGAGCCATCTCTCCAGCCCTACGTTTGGTTCTTTTTTTTTTTTTTTTTTAATTTATTTATTTATTTTATTGATGAGTACACTGTAGCTGTCTTCAGACACACCAGAAGAGGGCATCCAATCTCATTACGGATGGTTGTGAGCCACCATGTGGTTGCTGGGATTTGAACTCAGGACCTCTGTAAGAGCAGTCAGTGCTCTTAACCACTAAGCCATCTCTCCAGCCCCCCCCCTACGTTTGGTTCTTAAGGGGAGCCTGACCCCTGGAGCTCCTTGGTGGGACCAGCTACCCCACCCTGACCCACCAGGGATCTCTAAGACCCATGTTTTCCTTCAGAGACTAAGCACTTAACACCACACAAAGGGAGCAGACTACCTCTTTATTTCTCTTAGATAAGACTAGTTAGAACTTTCCTGGATATGGAAGAGGACCAGAAAATTTACAGCATCAGACTGAGGAACATCAAAGCAGAAAAGACAGAGCCTGCTGAGGACAGTTCTAATTTTATGACAAGCATATTTTCATCCTGCATCTTACTGTAGCCCAGGGTTCTTGCTCCAGCATTGGCTTCCATGAAAGTCTCCTGCACCTCAGAATCCTCCTGGCTACCACAATTCAACAAAGATACAACTGGGGAACTTCAGGTGACCATGAGAGGAAGGAGAAAAGAAGGGGCCCAGGGCCCACTGCTCACCCTGAGGTACAAAGGGCCTGTTCCTCAGCTAGCTCTGTCTCCTGTGGAGGGGCCCGGGAATGAGTCAGGCTAAGTCAGGGGCCACTGACTTAGGTCCTGTGCCACCAAGTTTCTCAGTTCACCACTGCCGAGCTGGCCATGGTATTCACGCCACAAGCCCCAGACCCACGGTACAAGTAGTAGTAACCCTGCAGGACAGTGGGGCTTGGTTAGAGTGCTTGGGTAAGGGAGAGGCTGGAGGGTCTGGGCTAACCAGAGAAAACTCACCTCCTCACCCCACTCACTTCCCCAGCTGTTCTTGATGGCCCAGTAAGGAACATTAGAGCCTGGGGAACAATATGGAGTACAAGAAGTCAGAGGCCCTTCTCCACTCACGAGATTCATATACTGCCCCCTTCAAGTATCTTCAGTGGGCCTATGATATAACAGGAAGTAGGGAAATGGCAAAGAGCCAGTAAGGTCCGCCTACCATCCTCATGGAGACCTTTGTACCTATAAGGCTTAGAGAAAGCACTTGTCCAGTTGCCTCTAGAATAACCCTCCAACCTCTCCCAGCCCCAGTTTTCCTGTCTACAAAAGGCTTGAGTGTTTTTCAGAGGCTGGGGTTCAGGACAAGGTTCTCAGGCATTACTAGCAAGGCCTGAGAAGCTGCTATCTAGCCTCTGACAGGGGCCTGAGGTAGATGGAAGGGAAGCAGGAGACACTCACGGTTGCCATAGCCCACCAGCAACACAGCATGGTCGATGAACCAAGGGCTGCAGAGGGGCCGGAGTGGGTGAGCAATCCCATGGCGATAGAACTGAGAAGAAAACAGGGAGCAGGGGCCAGCTTAAAGGAGAAATGAGGAAGGCACAGGTGAGACAGGGAGGAACAGAGAGGTCAGGACCTCACCTGCATGCCGAAGGCATTGATGGCAACTGAGATGGGTCCTTTCTGGGCCAGCCAGGCTGCTATCTCTGAAAGGGGACGGCAGTGCCAGTGATACCCCGGCCCAGCAGCATTGCCCTAGACCCACCCGTGGCGCCCCCACTCACTATTCTCATTCCGGCTCAGCTCCACTGAATCGTTGATGTAGACTTTTGCCATCTGTGCTGAGAAGTTACAGGCCTGAACGTGGCCCTGGTAGCCGTAGTCATTCTCTGTCTCCAGCCCTCCTGGGGAATGAGTAGATTCCTGTTCATCACTTACTCATGTTCTCCCAGACAGAAGAGTTTTGAGTAACACACACACACACACAGAGGATATCACATGCTCCTTACATACCCCCAGGGCCCCGGCACCCTGTGAGGAATCTCCTCAGACTAGCAATGACACTTCTAGGGATGAGAGGGTGTGGGAAAGAGCTACAGTATCAACAAAGACAGGACTCCACTCCCACCTCTGCCTCCTTGCTGAGGCCTTATCTCAGGCTGCCTGGCACCTTAGCCCTCTGCTGCCTGTCCTGCTCCGAGAGTCTACTGCTCACACCCTTGAAGTCTCCTGGACCAGCTTCTTTCTAAGCTACCTCAGTCCCTTAGCTCACCATCCTTATACCTTGTAGCCCATGGCTGAATTTAATACCTCCCCTCAGGAGAGAGATGCGCTGCTGTGCAGTTTGGTGAAATAATAAGAACACAGACTTCCAGAAGTGAAAGCACCAAGATTTTCTGGGTTCTTGTCACGCATCAGAATCTTACATCTATTCACTACATCACTTGCCATGGAAACAATCCTACAAAGTGGACACTGTATATCCCATTTCCCAGATAAGATAACTGGGGCTCTGACAGAACTGACTTACTGTAGGTCTTCAGTCAGAAAGGGTCAGCATAAAGACCAGGACTCAGTTCTATGTGACTCATGCCCTCTTGCAAAGAGGTGGTACCTGCTGCCCCTCCTATCCAAATTAACACATACCCAAATTCTTTATGGCTGTGTAGGCGTTGGAGGGCAATCCACCCAAGCAGGCCTTGTCCATCTTGTCACAGTCCAAGAGCTCTAGGAGACAGAAGGCTGGTTCCAAGGGGCCCACTGAAGGGGCTGAACTGGGAAAAGGGTACTAGAGCAGGATGCTCACCCTGCTCTGATAGGGAGAGCAGATTCCCTCGGTTCAGGAACCACTGGCCCTCCACATTGCCTGTGACAGAGAAGGCCCAGCAGGAGCCACACATGCCCTGCAAGACAATGGACACAGTGAAGGCTCTATCTTCAGGCCCCGTGCAATCTGCCTTCCTATTCCCACTTCTGGGACTCCAACCTGGTCCTTCACTTCAGTGACAGCCCCTTTCTTCCTCCAGTCCCATTCAGGTGGGGCGAGATCATTTATGGACTTAGCTAGACTCATCTTCCTGCCAGACTCTTTTTGTAAGAGGGGATTCAGGTAGATGGTGTGGAATTCCTCCTCTGTAGGTAGAGATGGCAGAGAGTAATGAGTATTTTAAGCCAGCCCTCATGAGGAGCCTGAGGAGCACAGGTCCTGTGCAAGCTTTCGTCACTGTCCCCACCTGTGAGGTCGCTGAATTTTGTGATCCCGTACTGAGCTGTGCCACGGTCCAGGGCCTGAATCTTCTGTGCTCGTATCATATTCCTGGCGAAGACAGTCAATCGCCACTGGGCTTCTGAGGACCAAAGAGAAGGAGAGAGTCTTGAACCCAACCAGATCATAAAAGGAAAGGTAAGTGGGGGTAAGCTTCTGAGTGTGTTTGACTATGAGTGTGAATGATTGTGTACATGAGCGTATGTGTGAATTAGTGTGTGCCTTTGTGTATGCATGTATGTGCATACATGTGTCCACGTGTGTGGTGTGTGTGTACATCTTTGTATATGTGTGCACATGAGTGTGTGCCTTTGTGTACACTTCTGTATGCATATGTGTGTACATGAGTATGTGGAGTGTGTGTGTGTGTGTGTGTGTGTGTGTGTGTGTGTAGACCAAAGGACACTCTCTGGTGTCATTTCTCAAGGCCTTTCATTTTTGTTTGAGGCACAATGGTCTCTCTTTTTTTTTTTTTTTTGGTTTTTGGAGACAGGGTTTCTCTGTTTAGTCCTGGCTGTCCTCGAACTCAGAAATCCGCCTGCCTCTGCCTCCCAAGTGCTGGGATTAAAGGCGTGTGCCACCATCGCCCAGCTTACAACGGTCTCTTGTTGGCTTGGAACTCAAGCAAGCTAGACTAGCTGGGATGAGCCTATTTCTTTCTCCCTTTCACTGCTGCTGGGGTTACAAGTCCAGGGCACCATATCAGGCTTCTTTGGTGGGTTCTGGGGATTGAACTCAGGTCTTCACCCTTTCAAGACAAGGGCTTTATTAACTGAGTCACTGCCTTAGTCCCTGAAGCTGCTTATAACGATAGATCCCTGGGGCAGCTCTTATTCTAAGACAAGAGGGAAGCAGACTTCCAAGTGACAAAGTGAGAGGCGTGCTCAACTTCGGGGGGCCCAAACTAGAGCAATGACTTATTGAATATAAAGGCAGTAACCTAAATGAAACCTATGTCACCCAGGAGAGGTTACCAGAAAGGTCATGACAGAGGAAATCCAACAGAGAAAATCTGGGCTAAGCCTTACCCTATCCTGCCTAGAGGAACAAAGCCCATGGTTTCTGGTTAGGAAGATAAGACAGAAGAAAGAAACAGGCCACTCCTTGAAAAGACGGCTGCCTAGAACGCTGGATAAGAGCTTAGAAATATGGGGTCCTTAAGAGACACAAAATCCTTTTTGTTTGGTTTCAGACCCCTAGACCAGGGACTGAGGTGCATATTTTACATACCAAAGCAGTCCTGGCCTCCAGGTTCTCCCAGCATCCCTCAGTCCCTACCTGGCATACCCTGTCCCCAACCCTGACCTTTCCAGCCCAGGGGCTGGGCTGCCCCCAGAAGGTCTTCCTGATCTAATCCAGACATTCTGTTCTCCTCACTCTCTCCCTTCTCTCTTCTTCCTCTCTGTTCACGTCCTGTCTCTCCCTCATCTTTTCTCCATGGTGATTTCTGTGGCCTAGTCCTTGGGGCCAATGAACTCACCAGAGAGCAGCTTCTCAATAAACCTGCATTTAATATAATCTAATCTGGCTTGATTTGGCTCATTTTACCAGCAGAGAAATAACTTTTCACTTGTGTTCTTTATCTCCTCAGTATCAAGGTACCATGACAGGTGAAGACTCAGGTCTGACTAAGACAGATGCAGATAAGGCTGGACCTACCTTCCCTTGATTCATAGGTCCGGTTATAGGTAGTCATGAAGTCCTTGAAGAGTGAAGCCATCTTCATAGAAAAGTCCTAGGAAGTCAAAGGGTGTTCGTTTACAAAAGTTCAGCCAGACTCCAGTACACTAATTGAGAGCTCTACCCTGGAGGACCAAAACAGGGAAATCACCATGGGAAGAGGAAGTGAGGGGTAGAGAGAGAAAGGGCTTACAAAGAGTAAGAGAGAGGGAGAGGGAGAGGGAGAG